AAATAAAACTACAGACATCTTAAGCTTCAATAAATAAAGAATTATTATAATGGAGGAATTATTTAAGTATCTAAACAATGTCTTGCTTCTTGAACATAAAGGGTATTTCTGTTACAATATTTAAATGGTCGTTAATCATTTGGTCAAGACAGGACCACATGTGAAATTCCAATTGAACTACGCACAGGAATCTACTCAACTAATGGTTAGCACTATTTTGGGCTTAGATAAGGGTCAATGGCGTTGGACGTGGTCTTTTTGTGGCTACGTATTGACTGTAGGCTGATTGCTCTTTTGACTCTGCCCTCGGGTTCTGCTACTCCTTTTTTCTTGCATGTGGCTTCTAATTGACCAGGAATGTGAGACTTTTTTAAAAAAAATTGATTTATATGCCACCCTTCTCCGGAGACTCAGGGCGGCTTACAGTGCGTTAAGCAATAGCCTTCATACTTTTGTATATTTAATGCAAAGTCATCTTATTGTCCCCACAAATTGGGTCCTCATTTTACCTACCTTAGAAAGGATGGAAGGCTGAGTCAACCTTGAGCCTGGTGAGATTCGAACTTACAGTAATTGCAGACAGCTGGTGTTAATCACAATGCTTTTAGTCTGCTGAACCACCAGACCTGTGGTTGAGGTAGAAAAGTGTTAATATAATGGCTGATCTTTGCTAAATACGTTCAGGCTGCGTTGAAGAGAAACGAGGAGCTGTGTAGACATCTTTGAACTTTGGGATTCAGAGAAGACTCCCAAGAATACCACCAACATCCAACAAAACAAACAATGGACCATTAAACAAATCAATCTGAGTTCTCACTTGAAGCACAAATGACCAAGTTGAATTATCCTACTTTTGACATATTATATGTAGACCAGCTCTCCGGAAAAGGCTGTAATGCTGAGGTAGGAAAGCAAAGAAGAGAACAACCAGAAGCAAAGAGGTTGGACTTGGTTATAGTGGCAAGGAATGCATGAAAGAATGGATTAGGGATAGATCATTACAGAGAAAATCGATGTGGTTGCTAAGAGTCAGAAACGACTTGATGGCATACCATCAATCAAAGGAAAGCCACATTGAATCAGTCATATTCTGCTGCAGGCTGATATCACATTTAATCCAAGTGCCACAGTGATATTGTAATATTCCCTAAAACAAATACAGAGTGAGGAATCATCAGACACAGATCTGGACAACAACTTTAGTCCAAGCAAATAAATGGTACTTTTAAGTCTACCTACCATTCAAGTTTTTACTTGTTTAACTGCTGGTTGGCAGAGGTTGCTTTTTTTTTTCCAGAAAACGATTGCTCCAACAACAATGGAGGCATTTTTTTAAATGGAATGCCCTAGTGCTCCAAATACACGAGTGTGAATGTTTCTCCTCTTGCTACTTTGATGTAGCTTTCTTTTTTCTTTTTGTCTATCACGTGACTCCTGTATTTTTCAATTGTGGGAATGGAAGTTCCCTATAGCATGTTGAGTGGCCATTCCAGGAAGTGCAACCCCAACATTTCCTGAGGATGTCAAGTGTCAGTTTGACATATACCGGTAGTAGTGCATTTCTTTGTTGTGGTTGGCTGATTTTGACCCAAATGTAAAATGTTAACAAGGAACAGGGTTATTATTAAATGATTAAATTATAGTGCCTTGCAGTGCTATGTTAATGATGGTTCTGAATGCTCTCATCTGAGCATGAAGGACAGCATTGCAGCTTAATGGGCTTCCTAAAAGTCAGGTAGTCCTTGGCTTATGACTGGTTGCTTAACGACCGTTTGAAGTTACAATGGAGCCTAAAAAAGCTACTTACGAGCTGCATCCAAAGTTCTGTCAACACCCCCCCATCACATCATGTGACATGAGCACATTTTGGATGCTCAACAAACATCCTGCATCTACAGCTGTTTGCAGCATCCTACAGTCATTTGATCACCATTTATGATACTTTTGCTGGAAACCGGTTTTTACTTCTGGTTTCTGGGAAAAAAACACCCCATAGTGAATAATGGGTTCACATAACAACTGCCCAAGGCAGAACTAGAACTCATGGTCCCCCCATTTCTCTCCTGATGCCTTATAACTCTTACAGCAAACCGGCTCTCTACTGGCTGCTTATTCAGGTACCAACCAGCCCAACTCAGCTTGGTTTTTGTGAAGAGCAGCCACCCAGGCAAGCGGCTGCCATCTGCTGTGATTTTTGAAGGCCTCTGGCTAGATAATTTGGTGCAGATAAGCAAGGCAGTGGATTAAGTTGTAAACCTGCAATCCTATCTGCATTTACTTGTAGGTGAGCTGCAATGTAATCCACCTGTTGACAGGATTATTTATGGTTGTCAAAATGCCTGATGCAAGCTTTCTTATTCTGAATTCTTACTGTTCGAATGAGAATGCTATGGATACCGGCTTGTGTAGCTGAGCACAGCGCTGTCTGTTTTGGGCTTAGCGGTTTCAAAAGTCAGGTTAGAGCATTATTTCTCAACCTTGGCAATTTTAAAATAGGCGGACTTCAACTCCCAGAATTCCTCAGCCAGCATGCTGGCCACAGGATTCTGGGAGTTGGAGTCCACCATCTGAAAGTTACCCATGTTGAGAAACACTAGGTTAGGGATAGACAGAAAGAGAAAGAGAAGGAACCCTGGTTTTGACACTTTCGTTCTTTCCGTTTCATGATTTAAAGCACTATCTAGCAACTGAGTCAAGAGAGCTCATTCCCTGATCAGTAAGTAAAAGACTGGCTTTTTACTCCGATTTTCGTACAAACCCAAATGGCTGCTCCATTAGTCCCTTCTGTGATGATACAGAATAACAGAGTTGGAAGGGACCTTGTAGGTCATCTAGTCCAACCCCCTGCCCAAGCAGGAGACCCTACACCATTTCTGACCAATGGCAGTCCAGTCTTCTTCTTTTTTTTTTTTTGAAATCTTCCAGTGATGGAGCTCCCACAACTTCTGAAGGCAAAGCTGTTCCATTGGTTGATTGTTCTCACTGTCAGAAAATTTCTCCTTATTTCAAGACTGAATCTCTCTTTGATCATTTTCCATCCATTATTTCCTTGTCTGGCCTTCAGGTTCTTTGGAAACTAGTTTGATCCCCTCCTCTCTGTGGCAGCCCCTCAAATATTGGAACACTGTTATCATGTCTCCCCTGGTCCTTCTCTTCACTAGACTAGCCATGCCCAGTTCCTGCAATCATTCATCATATGTTTTAGCCTCCAGTCCCCTCATCATCTTGGTTGCTCTTCTCTGCACCCTTTCTAGAGTCTCAACATCTTTTTTATAGTGTGGTGACCAAAACTGGATGCAGTACTCTAGGTGTGGTCTTACTAAGGCTTTATAGAGTGGTATTAGTACCTCACATGATCTTGATTGAATGGTAACTGTGGTTCATCTGCTATGGCAATAGAAACTTCCCAAAACATCTGTGGTGCATTAAATAAGCCGGGTGTGGTGTGTTAAGAAAGGCTTATTACAAGAAAGTTGTTTAATGTGGAAGATCCCTAAGTCTCCATTTCGTGCTTTTTGTGGGCAGGTTTTGGCAGATGCCCGCATCTGTCAATTTTCTGGAATGGCAGCTTGAAGATTGGACTTCAATAACTTTCAGGCATCAGATAGTACGGTCCCATGTGATTTATTTCAAATTTACTGGGTTCGGGGGAGGGAGTTTAAATCAACCTTCCCCCCCAGGGGTGAAATCCAGCAGGTTCTAACAGGTTCTGGAGAACTGGTAGCGGAAATTTTGAGTAGTTCGGAGAACCGGCAAATACCACCTCTGGCTGCCCCCCCCCCCCAGTGGGGTGGGAATGGAGATTTTGCAATATCTTTCTCCCAGGAGGGGAGGGAATGGAGACTTTGCAATATCCTTCCCCTGCCACGCCCACCAAGCCACGCCCACAGAACCGGTAGGCAAAAATTTTTGGATTTCACCCCCGCTTCCCCCTTAAGACATTTCCATGCTTGCAATTGTGGTGGCATACATACAGACCCGTATCTTTTTTTTTTTCTTTTTTTTTTAAATTTGATTTATATGCCGCCCATCTCCAGAGACTCAGGGCGGCTTACAATACGTTAAGCAATAGCCTTCATACTTTTGTATATTTATACAAAGTCAGCTTATTGCCCCCACAAACCGGGTCCTCATTTCACCTACCTTAGAAAGGATGGAAGGCTGAGTCAACCTTGAGCCTTGGAGAGATTGGAACCAGCAGAAATTGCAGGCAGCTGTGTTAATAACAGGGTGCTTTAAACCACTGTACTACCAAGGCTCTTGAACCCATTCCACGGCCCATTCCCAGAACTGAGAAATGGGCATCATTTACCTTTTTTTTTTTTTTTCTTTTTTTTAAATCCAATTGGGTTTCTTAAGAACTATAGTAGCAAAGTCCCATTTCCACACGAGGGAGAAGCTGGCGACCAACCGCAGGCTAAAAAAAGGAAAGAAAAAAATCGAAGGAGGGTTGATTTTTTTTCCTGTCTTCCCGCACATCAAACCAGGGGACCGAATAAACCTACCTTGCGCACGATCGCAGGCAGACTCGGGTCCTTCTCCCCCCCCCCCCCACCTCCCCGGTGTCTCCGGGAAGCTTGCCTCGCCGTTCTTCTCCGCAGGGCCGCCAGGGGTCTCCGGCTGTTGCGCTATCCTAGCGGAGGCCGCCTCTTGCGCGGAGAAGTCTTTCCGTGGCGCAGCTTCCTGTGCCTGACTCAGCTCTCCAAACCGGGCGAGGATTGGTTGAAGCGGCCGGGAGGCTCAGCTTTGCCTTGGGAAGTCCAGCCTCGGCGGCCAGCCAGTAACCTCTGTGCAGCCTCCTCCGATTGTGCCCCCATCTAATTATTGCTTTTTGGAAGTGCCCAGGTTTGCTCTGGCGCCGGTGCTTTCCCCTCCGCCGGGCGCGCGCGGGTGATCCGGGCGCCGCTCTCTGCTGGCGGATCCGTCCTGCTGCATCGGGTCTCGCCCGATCCTGGTAAGGAACCGGGTCGTGGGAAGCTTGAGTTGGGCCTCATCGGGCTTGGAAAGGTTGCACGGCATTAGGTGGGTCTCGGGACGGTCCCGCTTGATTCCTTCTCCTGGGGGATCGCCGGAGGGAAAGCGGGACCGAGTGTCGCATGATCCTCCGCCTGGGCTTTCGGTGGCTGGCTGCCGTCTGCTGATCTAGGCCGCTATTGTTTTCTTGTGGGGCTGCCCCGCAGGATTAAACATCTCTCGCGCAAAAGGAGATCCTGCTGCTATTTTGCCCCCCTCCCTCCTTCCCCATCAGTGGATCTCCCTCCTTCCCCGAGAGGTTCAGTGTAAAGCGTTTTATCTGAATCAATGCAAGGGGGGGAAAAAAATCGTTTGCGCTTTTCTAGTTAGCAACAACCCCACAGGGCTGTAAAAATCCCGGTGTTCATTATATATGGTAGCAAAGAATCCCGTTGGCCTCTTGCTGTTTGCTGCACTTGGTTTTCTTCCTGCAGCCCTTTCATTGCCCGTGTAGGTAACGTTGTAGTTGCTGTATAAACGATTGAAGAAGCAAACAAAAGTTTTAAAAAGGAAAAGAGCAACCTGAGGCACATTTTCTCTTGTTTTAATTAGAATCTAGAGAAGGGAGAACCAGCACAATAGGCAGGAATTGTTTAAATCATTTTCTATCATCTTTGTTTATTTGTCTATTTATTTATTTGGTTCGATTTATATGCTGCCCTTTTCCGGAGACTCAGGGCGGCTTACAATGCGTTAAGCAAAAGCCTTCATACTTTTGTATATACCTGCTTAGTAGGGCTTTCAGCCCCCCCCCCAAGCAGTGTTCTTTTTTCTACAAAGTCAGCTTATTGTCCCCACAATCCGGGTCCTCATTTTACCTACCTTAGAAAGGATGGAAGGCTGAGTCAACCTTGAGCCTGGTGAGATTCGAACTTGCAGTAATTGCAGGCAGCTGGTGTTACTTAACAGTGCTTTACTCTGCTGCGCCACCAAGGCTCTTGTTATTGTGTGGCAACTTGGACATGTATGGACTTCAACTCCCAGAATTCCCCTGCCAGTATGTTGAAAAACACTGTTTTAGATGAAACAATTCAGACAACCAAGCCAGGTAGCCCAGTCAGAAACTGGTTAGGAAACTCCACTCCCTTGTGTCAGTTTTCCTGGTTGGGTAATGAAATATTTGCAGAAAGAAAACCAAACTCAGCAAGCACTGACCCCCAACTTTAACTTCAACTTTAACCCCGATTTACCCTTTGTAGCTAAAGGTCACTTCTTGTATATTCTCCATTATCTATCATTTGCAGCTTATCTATAGCCACACAACACTGTCTCTTTCTTTCTTTCTTTCTTTCTTTCTTTCTTTCTTTCTTTCTTTCTTTCTTTCTTTCTTTCTTTCTTTTTCTTTCACTAAGTGAACTGTTGTAAGTCGAGGACTACCTGTATATCTAACCCACAGTTCCCCAATGTTTCTGGCTTTGCAGACCAGCAGCAAGGGTGGGGAGAGGGGATGGTTCCATGTGAGTGGCCGGCAAGCGTACATGCACGCATCTCCATTTGTGCCAGGGCATGCATGCACGCCTAACATTCACTTATTAAGCAATTCATTATGTGACCATGCTCAATTTTTTGACTTTTTCTGCAGTGGTTGTTAATTGAATGCCACAGTCATTAAATGAGCACAGCAGTTGTAAAGTGAAGCCATTATATCCAAAGGCAAACCAAAAATAAACACCCGTTTCTGGCAAAATGCACAGAAAGTGACACATGATTGTGGAACCTGCAAAAGTGGCCTTAAATGTGGGCCAGCTGCCAAGTGCCCAAATTGCGATCATGTAACCGGGGTTGGGGTTGGGGCAGGTGTTGGGACTTGAAAACTGGGTTGTAAGTAGTTCTGGGGAGATCCGTCATAACTCCAAAAAGCCGCTATGCCACACATTTGGGACTACCTGTAATATGGCTAATTTTCATGTGGATTCTATTTCCATCCAGTCATTGAAAAGATGGTGAATGAGGAAGAGGAGGGAACTCCCAAGCAGGGTGGCCCTAAAACAGCAGAGCCACATGGGATGCTGTCTGAGAGCTGCCAGAGTCATGTGTCTCCAGACGTTGAATCGGAAGGAAGTGAAACCAACGAGATGGAACCGAGAAGCTCAAAGCATGACCAGGAGAGCCATCCTCTTGCCGTCAACGGTGACGTTTCTGACAGCGAGAAGGTTTATCCCTCACAGACACAATATATTTGCCCTGTTTGCGGGGAATGTTTCAATGGGAGTTCCTGTCTCGTGGAGCATCAGAGGGTTCACAAAGAGGAGAAGCCACGCACCTGCCCTGTCTGTGGAAAAGGTTACAACCAGGAAGCTGACTTGGTGGCGCACATGCAGAGTCATACTGATGAGAAGCCATTTTCTTGCCTTGAGTGCGGGAGGAGCTTCCTTTTCAGCTCAGACCTGGTGGCCCATCAAAAGGTCCATACTGGAGAGAAACCTTACATCTGCCTAGAGTGTGGGAAAGGCTTCTCCCAGAGTTCCCAGCTGATGTCCCACCGCAGAGTCCATACCGGGGAGAAGCCCTATGAGTGCATTATCTGCGAGAAGAGCTTCCGGTCCAACTACGACCTGGTCAACCATCAGAGGAGTCACACCGGAGAGAAACCTTACATATGCTCTGACTGTGGGAAGAGCTTCACCCGCAGCTCACACCTCATTTCCCATCAGAGAGTCCACACTGGTGAAAGACCCTACCCTTGTGGGATCTGCGGGAAGCGTTTCCGGGACTGCTCCCATCTCATTCGGCACCAGAGGGTCCACACGGGTGAGAAACCGTACGAGTGCTCCATTTGTGGGAAGAGCTTCCGGGTCAATTATGACTTAGTCACCCATCAGAGGAACCACACCGGAGAAAAACCTTACGAATGCCCCGATTGTGGGAAAGGCTTTAAGCGGAGTTCGCACCTTATCTGCCACCAGAGAGTCCACACTGGAGAAAGGCCGTATCCCTGCGGCATCTGCGGGAAAAGCTTCAGCTATAGTTCAGACCTTATTAAGCACCAGAGAATCCACACAGGGGAGAAACCTTACGAATGTCACATCTGCGGGAAAAGCTTTCGGATCAATGCTGACCTGGTCACTCACCAGAGGATTCACACCGGAGAGAAACCTTACACCTGCTCTGATTGTGGGAAATGTTTTGCCCGGAGCTCACGTCTTGTGTCCCATCAGAGAGTCCATGTGAAGGACGGGACCTTGGGAACGTCTCTTTCTGAAACTGAGTCATCCCAGCCAGGAGCAGCTACTGTGTCCCCAGCTCCTGAGCACCCTTGGGCCAAGGAGGAGAAGCTGGCCCCAAGTGAGCCTCTGGCTCTGACCAGCCTCGGAACTTCTACTCAGTTCGTCCTTGGTGATGCGCCTCAGGCTGGCCACGTGAGTGAAATAAAGACAGAGTGCAAGAGCTGAGACACAAGAAAACTAGAAGGAAAACACTTACTTTCCAGTAACAAAGTAGTGTACGGAATCTGGAATCCCTTGCCCATTTTAATTAGCCTTCATGGATTGCTTGATCAAACAAGATACTATCCATGGCTTCCCCCCTCCCCCCCAGTGTGTGCATATTGAAGGATGAATGGGTTGATCCAAGGAAGAATGAAGTATCCTGCGCCCGCAGCATGGTCTCGTCAGCCGTATTTCAATTAAAAGCCATTTTGACATGGGCTGGCTTTGCTTCCCCAAATAAATTCTTGGAAACATAGTTTGTTGAGAATTCTTGATTAAAAATGTATAGCATAGAGGTGGGAGGGGAAGTATACAAAAACGGATGTAATGTTGGAACCTCTTCAAAAATATATTTATTGATGCAAGCTAAAACAAGTAAATATGGCACTGCTGTGTATGGGTTGCCTTGAAATGACAAATGGAGCAAGAAAAATATAACCGAAATTAGTGTTTATTGTAGGGAAGTATTTTCTTTTAAAATAATGCAAAGTAATAATCTCTTATCCATCATGGTTGTTTCTTAAGAAATCCATACAACTTAGAGTTTATTTGCTCTGTTCCTCAGTGGAAAGCCATGACTTTTTAAGAATATGCTGAACACTCACAGTTCTTTTAAACTCAGTCTTCTGCTTCACCGAAACATTCTGTTGTTTATTATCTTCTAACAATTTCTCTCCTACGTTTGTGTGTGTGTATTTTTAATAAATAAAACATTGTTGCTATAATAAAAATGCTTTAGTTGGGTAGAATAAAGCTTTAAGTCATTAATAACACTAACTTAATTTATAAGCAATGATCTTTTTCGTACAGATCAACCACTCATACAAAGAGAGGGAAGCCCATGGGATGTAAGAACAGTTTTGCTTACTTCTCCCTCTCATTTCTCATGGAGAAGCTGTGCAGCCCCCCCAGCCTTTCAATAGACACGTCCATATGTCTGTCAAGGGGAAGAATTCTGGTGGATTTTTTGTAGTAGTGCAGTGAAGGCATCTCTCCTTTGGGTCTTATCTCAAGGTGCATTTAAATCAAACTTGAGGAATTTCAATCCAGCTATCTAAAACACAAGCCAAGTATGACACAAAGGCTTGTTGTCTGTCTGTCTGATCTATTTAACAGATCTATCTGTCTGAAATGTTTATGCTCTTCCCTGGAGGTTCACCACTGATCTCTTCTGGTTTATTGTATTCCTTCTATTCATTAATCTTTTTTATTTATTTTTTTCCTGAAATCGCTAACTTTCACTCACGGTTCTTCCTGAAGGGAAGATGGGGTGCTGGTAACAGATTTAGTCAACTTTGGGTGCAGTTATATCTGGGCTCGATTGTGAGTAGATGTGCTTGGGACTATACTATACTTGGGATTATACTTATATTTTGATAGCAGCTAACAAATTGATCGTGAAAACTATCAGTTGTTCCAGCTGTAGGTCCCACCCCATAGCCGTAGGCCATGAAGAAATTGCGACCAGCAAGCAAGGCTGATAAATGGAGTATTTTATTAATGCCTACAATTTTTTTTTAGAGAAAGAGGCTCTGAACAATGGCCTTATCTATGGTGCCTAGGTTCACACATCTCTCTAAACTGCAATTTTATTTAATAATTTGTTGATTAAGCCATAGCACACTGGGTTCACACATTGTGCAGTCTTAAAACTGTGGCTCAGAAACCACAATAAAATAATAGATGGTCTCACACAACTTACTAAAACAATACCATCTGCATTACCTGTTAAATAAAAGAGTCAGAACTCTTCCTTGTTGCACAAATTCCCAATATCTTAGCTAGCGGTTTTTGTGGTCTTGCTTATAGAGGTAGTCCTCAACTTACAACCATAATGGAGCCTGGAATTTCTGTTGTATGTCATGACAATTATAAGTTGAGGCAACCATGTGGCTGACACGATTTTACAACATTTTTTTACGGCAGTCATTAAGTGAACACCAATGTTGTTAAGTGTACCTATTGTCCACAGTGGACATTTTTTTTTTTTTTGCCAAAAAACAGAAATAAATGTCAGTTTCCATGAAAACAATAATTGTAAATTACTATCCCACAAGTATGGGATACTGCAAATGGGCATAAATGCATGCATAAATGCTGAGTGCCAAAATGTGATCATGTGACTGGAGGTCACGTGGCCATTGGAACTTTGAATCTGATCTTAAATATGCTTTGGAGGGTCCATGGTAACTTCAAATGGTTGCTAAGCAACTGGTCATGACAAGGACAACTTGAACGTAACAAAAACACTAAAGATCAAGGGCAGAAATGGGGATTGGAAGTAGGGAGAGAATGTACAGTATAAGCCTTGGCAAAACCTGAGAAAACTGGAGATAAAAGATTGTTCAATGCGTTGTTTATATTTGATGAATTGCACCTCCCAGAATTTCCTGCCAGTAAAGATAATTGTGACTGAGCTACTTGTCAGATTCTCTAAAGTATCTGAAGAACACGTTGGAGAACGCTGCCCCATTGCTGTAGAATGGCACCAGCTTAGTCCTAAAGTTTTCAGCTACTACTGTCCAAAGTACTAGACTATCGATGATGCATTTGCCGATATCCGATCGAAGAAACAACTAATTTGAAAATGTGTCTCTTTGAGCTAATATAAAAAGTTGATTTTTACCAGTGTCATAGAAGAAGTTTGACCATGTTAAAGTTTGGCCATGTTATGTGGAAAATGTACAGTTGATAAAAATGTTTCCCTCTTACTGGATGACACACCTTTCACCTAGCTTTAAGGAGCAATCTTGGATTTAGATGACCATCTGCACATTTAATTGCATTTCCTAGGGATGCTTTTTCCAAAAGGCAACTGGATTTTCTTGGTTTTTCCTTGGAGATGTTTCACTTCTCATCAGGAAATTTCTTCAGTTCTAACTGAACTTTTGGAACAAAATTCTGTCTTATTTTCACAGAAAACAGTTATAAAATTAAAATACAAACGATATATATACCAAACAAACAGTAACACCAGTGCAGAATATAATCTCTTACTCTAAAGCATATAATTCATAGATGTGTCACAATAAACAGTTCCACAAATGCTATGTGGCTCTTTCTTAACATAATCTGCCTTGTGTTCCCATATTTTTCTTTAAAAATAAAGATTAAGTTCAATTGGCAAAAGCGAAATGCAAAAGTGCAACCAGAGAACCATGTGCAGCTTAAAATAATGGACAATCTGTTCATTTATTTTATCTGTATTGGTTTATATTAGTGGTGCAGAAGTGATTTTTGCTAACATTACACAGACGGACACATTGGATGGATTTATATATTATGTTTACCTAAACATGGGGAAACTGAAGGCCTCCAATTTTTTTTAAAAAAAAATTGATTTATATGCAGCCCTTCTTCGGAGACTCAGGGCGGCTTACAATGCGTTAAGCAATAGCCTTCATATTTTTGTATATTTATACAAAGTCAGCTTATTGCCCCCACAATCCGGGTCCTCATTTTACCTACCTTAGAAAGGATGGAAGGCTGAGTCAACCTTGAGCCTGGTGAGATTCGAATTTACAGTAATTGCGGACAGCTGGTGTTAATCACAATGCTTTTAGTCTGCTGAGCCACCAGGCCCTTGGAAACCAATTAATGATGGTTTCCATAGTCAGTCCCAAACAGTAGGACCAGTGGTAAGTAATGCTGGGATTATTCTTTAGCAACATTTGAAAGTCAAGTTTCTTCACTCCTGCAGTAAATCATCATACAGTTTTGCTTGGGCTTTGAATTAGGTGCAAACTAGGCAGCTAGAGAATATTGACAAGAGTTTAGTTAAAACTCGGGCTTAGCACAATGTATGAACCCAACTTTTACTAGTTTAAATATAAAAAAATAGGCATGCTGTGACAATTAAACCTTGTCAACTTCACAAAGAATAAGGGTTTTCCCTCTGAAAATATACTAGGTATAGAAGGAACTGATGCTAGCGTAATCAGAATTTTCTGTAACTTGGCCAGCTGGACCGAAGGGAAGTACCATTGGGAGCGTGGGGAAAATCTTTTCTGTCTACGTAAGTTTTTTCTTAAACTTTCTTTTTGATATGTTTTATTGATCAAGTTTGTTTATATCTCATGTTTACTGTTCTTCTGTCTGTATTCCTATAGACTTGGGGTTTGTTTTTTTTTTCCAATTTAAATTTACTGTATTCCAGTTTCTTATGGTAGCCAATAAAGTTTGTTTGAAATTTGAGTGTTTGTCTTTTATCTGGGAATTACAAGCTAAACAGAAAAGGGAAAAGGCTTTCCCGGTGTAGATTTAACTGGTTTACAGTGGCATTCCTCATTTCCACAAGTCTTAAAGTTGCCAAGGTTGGACCCCCTTGCTTTAAATGAAAGAAGATTCAAAAAGAGCTAGATAGACATGAACAATGGACTGAAATAGATATTTGCAAATTTAGCAGGGAGAAACCGGTTCTACAAACAAGCCAGGAGAAATATAAGGCCCATGGACAGGATGGGAGACAGCTGTCTTGACAGGAGTCCATGTGAAAGAAATCCAAGTGACCTTATTGGCCACAAGTTCAACATGAACCTGAAATGCAACTGTTAAAACAGGCAGATGTTTCCCTCGGATACGTTAACAGGAACACCGGTCCAAATCACAGCACTCTGCCCCGGCCAGACTCCATTTTGTATAGAGTGTCTAGTTCTGGGTGCTACAGTATAGAGAGGTAAATTAGACCAAGTTCAGAAAAGGTTTACTTAGGTGACAAATAGTCTGGCTATGTGGAACTCTAAAGCAGTGTTTCCCCATCTTGGCAGCTTAAAGATACATGGATTTCAACTCCCAGAATTCCTCAAGCAGCATGGCTGGCTGGGGAATTCTGGGAGTTGAAGTCCACAGGTCTTCAAGCTGCCCAGGTTGACAAACACTGCTCTATAAAATATTTATGTATGTTTAGTTGCAGAAATAGTGACTATGGTGGGAGGAGTCCGTGCCTACTACAGGTACAAGTAGTCCTCAATTTACAACTATTTGTTTAGCAATTGTTCACAGTTACAATATCACGTAATCAAAATTTGGGTGCTCGGTAACTGGCAAGTATTTATGTATGATAGTTGTAGCATCCTGGGGTCTTGTGATCACCATTTCCAATCTTCCCAGCTGGCTTCCAACAAGCAAAGTCAGTCAGGGAAACTGGATTTTACAACGTGACTCATTTAACAAACATGGCAAAAAAGACTGTAAAATCAGGCATGACTCATTTAACTGCCACCTTAATTAGCAACAGAAATCCTGATCCCAACTGTGTGGTCGTAAGTTGAGGAGTACTTGCACATCAAAGTTCGGAATCAATTTTTAATTATATTTGGTCAATAAAGTCGGTGAGATGATTGATAGATTATGTGCCGTCTAGTTTGTATCTTCTCTTAGGGACTACTTTAATAGATTTTATATAGACAATCTGTCCCCAGTCTGGGCCTTCAGATTTTCCAAGGATGCACACATAGCCACTGTAACAGAAAAAAACCTCCCTTTTTATGACTGGTAATCTCTTAATTCAGGGTAGAATTGGGGCGACTGAATGGAGCTGGGCATTTACTGGCCGGATCCCCTTCCTGATGCTTATGCAGAGTTCATAGCAGATACTTTTTCTTTGTGCCTAGGAGAGAAACATCTGCACTACCTAGGATTGAAATCTCAACCTTCCGAGTGAGAGGCGAGCATCTTTACCACTAGGCCACCACACTGCTCTGCTACATTAGCAAATCTGTTTGGAGTAATATTACTGGTAATTATGTCCATGGAGCACTCAGGTGGCAATTCATTCTCAGATTTGGGGTTAATTACAGATTACAGCGGTCTCCTGAAAATAAAAATGCCCTGTTTTCCATAATCTTGACTTGGAATAGGAGAAGTAGATAAATTTTGCCTCTGCTCCAAGTAACTTGCCCTGCATGTTCTGTGGAGAACCCAACCTTGATTCAAAGCCAGGACCTCCTACTAACACTGGAATCAGGAAATAAAATAACATAAATCTAAACTGTTTAGTCTGTTGATGGATGAGGGAAAGAAGCAGACAATTTACAAGGTCACTGTACACAAAGGTTTGAAAGGCTGTTGTGAAAACAGGAAAAAGGAAAAAGTCATGTGAGAAGCCTTGAAAATATTTGATTTTAAGGCTGAGCCTGGACGAAGGACACATGCAGGAGGAGGAGATGTCCTTTTGCCAGACCTCAGGTATTCCTGGTTCATTCTTGGGTGCCGAAGGACTTTATATTTTCCAGAAATCTGGTAACACCTTTTCTGATTAACAAGTGTTATTAAAAGAAAGCAGCTTTCGTGATTGGTATCTGTTGAAGTGTACAGCTCACAAAAGCTTCTGCCTTTTCGAAAAAGTTGTTGGCTGGAAAAGGGGTTACCAGCAGGGGTGGGATTCAGCCGATTCGTACCGGTTCGGGTGAATTGGTAGTTGTGACCTGCGGGTGGCCCACCTGGCCTGGCGCTATGCCATTCAATTTAGCCCTGCTTTTTAAGCCGTGTGCATGCGTGCAAGTGCACACATGAGCAAAGCACATGTGCAGAAGGCCGCACGCACTCACATTTTTGGTGCTGGGGCGAACCGGTTGTTAAATTATGTGAAGCCCACCAAGCTCCTGACTTTTTACCACTACAGGCAAACAGAGCTGTCCTCCAATACCAGGGATGCAGGGGTGGGTTCTACTTACCTTTACTACTGGTTCGCAATGAGACTGCACGCACGCGCTCTTCTGCGCATGCGCAGAAGTGTCCTGATGTCAGGGTCAATGGGCGGAGCCTCCTGCCAGGTTTACTACCGGTTCTATAGAACCAGTCCGAACTGGGGGCAACCCACCACTCATGGCCCACAGGCCCACGGACTGCCGGGTGCTTAGATCTGGCCCATGGGGCTGCCTTGAAAACAGCAAAGGATCGGCCCGCAATGCCTCTGCTAATGAAAACGTAGCTCGGGTGGGCCGTGCACAGCTAAAGCTAAAACAGAATGGCCTTCCCGAGCTCCATTTTCGCTGGCAGAGCGCTCGGGCCACCACAGGCGCCGACAACATGAGTGATGTCGAACTGACCACGGCCACCCTAGCCACATACCCTGTCCCCTCCCCCCCCGAGGTCAAACACAACCCTGATGCGGCCCTCAATGAAATCAAGTTTGACACCCCTGTCCTATACTGTAACAGGAGATCTTTCAGCAGTCCTAGGAGCAAAGAGTCTTCCTAGAACAGAGATTATGCTTACTAAAGTTTCCCACACTTGTTACCTATACTGTACAAGAAATAAAAGAGAGAGAAAATTCCCAAGAACAAATAGTTCTCGAATTATGACAATTGTACCCAAAACGTGTTGCTAAGTGAGACAGCTGTTAAGTGAGTTTTGCCCTATTTTACAACCTTTCTTGCTACACTTGTTAAGCGAATCACTGCATTTGTTTAAGTTAATAGAAGAGTGAATCTGTTAAGTGAATCTGGCTTCCCGATTGACTTTGCTTGTCAGAAGTTCACAAAAGGTGATCCCATGATCCTGGGATACTGCCATGGTCATAAATATGAGTCAGTTCCAAGCGTCTGAATTTTGATCCAGTGACTATGGGAATGCTGCAACAGTCGTAATTGTGAAAAATGGTCATAAGTCACTTTTTTCAATGCTGCTGTAATTTCAAATATCCATTAAATGAACTGTTATAAGTTGACAGTTCTGTGCTGTGCTAAATCATAATGTAGGTTCTTTGGTTATACAAAGATTTGTTATGATTTGCATGACGCAATTTGTCTCTACTGCTTAGCCACAAATATAGTGGGTTTTTTGTTTGTTTTTTTAGACACACTCTCTCCTGTAGGTTTAACATGAAACAAATACTCTTTACATTTTTTCCATTTATTTCTGCAGGAAAATGAAAAGAGGAAAGAAAAAAGCAGCAATTGATCTCCTTTTAAGCAAGGCAGAGTATAATCCTAACCTACAGATTAAACATTCAACTTTTTGTAGAAGTTCTTAAAAGAACCACAATTCCCTTTAGGGAGTTGCACTATGTTTCTCCCCCAGCTCTTCTGAGAGTAGATTTAGTCACTGCGACACACAATTTCAACATTTCCTTAATAATTAAAATTGATTATGGCTGCAGTCTGGATCCTCCTTAGTGCTTTTTGCCATGGGAATAACAAATGAGCATTTCTGAACATTCAGATATGCACTATCTTGATGGGGCATTTTAGTTTTATACCTAATAAGCAAAACATTTCTGAGCATGTGTCTTCCACATACATTTGGTAAGACAAAAAAAATTGCTGTAAATACATACATACATACATACATACATACATACATACATGCCCAGGCACAATTTATTCATACAATTACAGAAAACAGATTTTTCTCAAGCTATGAATGTCAATGCTAGGATATGATATGGCATCATTCATCTAATGTCATCCTAACTGATTGTATCATTTTAAGCCACCACAGTATTTAAAGGGTTTAACAACATTGCTCAAGGTTAAAAAGGGCTTTGAAGGATAATTTCAGCAGATCAACGCAAGCCAAGGTTTGTTTGCTTTTGGGAAGCCCTCTTTCTTTCCTTCTTTCTTTCTTTCTTTCTTTCTTTCTTTCTTTCTTTCTTTCTTTCTTTCTTTCTTTCTTTCTTCCTTTCTTTCTCTCTTTCTCTCTTTCTTTCTTTCTTATTGCAGGCAAGAACTTAAGGAACTGCTTCTGAAGAGGGAGATTGCTGTAAATTAGATCCATTTGCAATAGCCGCCCAAATGTTCTCACCAAATTCCTGTCTGGATGCATGTATTCATTTTACAGAGCTATCAAGAGTCATGGTGGTTGGGAGGAGCAGACTACAAAACCTGCAGAATCCAGCACATCTTCATAAGATATTTCCTCAGACCTGGATTTGGCTCCTCTGCTGAAAAAGACATAAAGAGTTCCGGAATTATATAGCGCTCTCGTATCTTTTTAAATTTTTCATTGAAACTGTTTATTTATATCCCACTTTATTATTTTTACAAGTAACTCAAGATGGGGAACATATTCAACACACCTTCCTCTTCCTATTTTCCCCACAACAACTCTGTGAGATGGACTGGGGTGAGGGTATACGGCTGGCCCAAAGTTATCCAGGTGGCTTTCATGGCTAAGGTGGGACTTGAACTCAAGTCTCCTGCTTTCTAGCATGGAGCCTTAACCACCAGGGGTCTGCAACCTTAAACACTCAG